CTCTACAGGTGCAGGTCTCAAATCATCTTTCAAAACCAGCTCTGTTAAAGTACGGTGTCCCGCAGGGATCCATTCTTGGTCCAATTTTATTTTTAATTTACGTTAACGATCTGTCTTCAGCATCTGGATCTAGCGAATTGGTTCAGTATGCTGATGACACGACTCTCTGTTGCAGTGCCAACAATCTTCCAAATCTAGAAATCAAAACTTTTGTAGATTTAAATTCATGTGTTCAATTTTTTGAAAACATCAATTTGAAAATAAATTCTCAAAAAACAAATTTCATCCGTTTTTACAGGCACGGTGAACCAAGTGAGACTGTAACGGTCATGATTGATGACTCACAAATTGAACAAGTCAATTCTTTTAAGTTTCTGGGCATCACCATTGACCGGGGGCTCACTTGGAGTAACCACCTTGACAACGTCTGCACGAGGGTATCTTCAGGCTGTTTTGCCTTAAGAGTCCTCTCAAAATTTTGTCCAGAAAATGTCTTGCTAATGGCCTACTTTGGCCTTATTTACCCCCATCTTTCTTATGGAATTGCAATTTGGGGTGGATGTGCAGAAGCGGACTTCCACAGGTTGTTCCGTCTTCAAAAGAGAGCACCCAGAATAGTGGCTAAACTACAGGTGCGAGAGTCTTGTAGGACCGTCTTCAGGGAGCTAGGCCTACTTACTCTTGCCTCTGTGTATATCTTGGAAGCTGCCACGTTTTCCAAATTTAAATGCAGCCTAACACAAGGCCAGGACATTCACTCGTATTCAACTAGAGGCAGAGAACAATATAGGTTGGCCCAAAACAGGTCCCGTACAGCCTCAAGCTTGCCCTCTCAGACGGGGGTGAGATTTTTGAATAGTCTTCCTGAACAAATAAGGAAAGAAAGGAACGAAAAAAGGTTCAAACGGATTTTAAAAAGATATCTGATTAATAAAGAATATTACACTGTGGGTGAGTTTTTTGACACAAATGAGTAGATGGTGTTCGGCTGCTCTGAGGTTCTAAATCAATCAAATGACAAGTTCTGTGTAATTTTTTAATCATACGTATTATTAATTTGCTGTCGCTTGTTATACCTGTATTAAATGTTGACGGATGCCATGCAATTTTATATTTGTTTCACGGCAATAAAGATATTATTATTATTATTATTATTATTATTATCCTTGTCTGTTAATTGACATCAATCGGTCTAATGAAAATGGTGGATCCAGAAGCAGGTCTTCAAATGTCTTAACTCTTGATAGGCCTACGTAACACAAACCTAAGCCATATTCTGAAGATCCAATGTCCACAACAGCTTGGTCCACAGTTATACCTTGTGCTTGTTAATGCCTTGTTGTGTATTGTTAATGCATACGCTACTTTGAGTGGAAATTGTTTCCTTACACATGATACGTTGGTTTTTTTGAAACTTGCGCTTTGGATAACAATAGGTATTTCGCCTTCATTTAAAGTAGGTCCATTATATTTATCAAATTTCACCATAATACATAACGAAATTTCTGACATCGGAATGCGGTTTTCTGTTGGAGAGTAAATAATATCCTTTACAAAGCCAAGTGCACCATTACACAATCCTTTGTTTGTCCATAGATTTTTCGTTAGCATCACGCGACATCCGATTTGGTGTATAAGTTGTGTGAATCTGTTGGTCTAAAGGTTTTCTTTCATGGAAGTGAAATTAGATTAAGGTATTTGCAATCCTAAAATGCTATGGGAAGGGAGGGAAACAGGTCCGCAGCGTAGGAAGTGGTGAAGGATGTAGTCAAAGCGAGTTGTCCGGAGTGTTGGAACTGTTTATGACGATTAGATTAAGGTATTTACAATCCTAAAATGCTATAGGAAAGGAGGGAAACAGGTCCGCGACGTAGGAAGTGGTGAAGGAAGTAGTCAAGGTGAGTAGTCCGGAGTGTGGGATCTGTTTATGACGATTAGATTAAGGTATCTGCAATTCTTAAAATGCTATAGGAAGGGAAGGAAACAGGTCCGCGACGTAGGAAGTGGTAAAGGAAGTAGTTAAAAGGCGAGCAGTCCGGAGTGTGGGAACTGTGTATTACGATTAGATAAGGCGGGTATGGGCAATCCTAAATGGCTATGAGAAGGGAGGGAAACATGTCCGTGACGTAGGAAGTAGTGAAGGTAGTAGTCAAGGCGAGCTGTCCGGAGTGTGGGAACTGTTTACAGTGTTGGGTAAACTACTTTTTAAATGTAGCTTGCTACTGCCATCGATGTATAATAACTCGATGTAGAGTTATTATACATCGATGGCTATACTGCTACAACTACAATTCTCTAAATATAGCTTGCTTTTGCTACTTCTACATTTTTACAAAATGTAGCTTGCTACAGCTACAACTACAATCAAATCGTAGCAAACTACTTTTTTGCTACATTTCATTTTTAATAATAAAACACTAGTTTTCAGAATGTGAGTGTAATGAATCATTAAAATAAACGGTATCAGCAAACTGACACATACTTTCTCCCATAAGCTTGTAGGCTTGTATTTCAGCCTGTGAGAGCCGTAATGCCTCTTTGACTCCTTTGATAATAACATCAGTATGCGGAATCCTAGGCAATGATTTTCAAACACTAATAAGAGCATTAGCTGAAAGATTGTCAGAAAAATGGGTTAAGCCTTACAGTAGTTAATTGGATAAGAACGAGACTGACTTGCTCAATTTTAAGGGCAACAAGCATGTGTCTGAGAAGAACAACTATATTGAAAGAATCAACATTTTTAGTAATATCGGTAATTTAGATTTATTTGTCTTGTAATATTTATAATAAATAGCCTTTCATATTTTCATAAAAAAAACCTTTATCACGGGTAAGCCAGTGGGGCTAACTATGATATTATTCTATGGGGATGAATCACAAAAGTTGCAATAACTTTTGACCGTAATTCTTACAGCAATGGGGGCTTGAACTATATTTTTGTTTAGAATTATAAGGACCATAACACATTAATTTCAATCAAACCCGGCTTTTTCCTAAAATATGATATTTTTTAATTTTTTAGGGTTTTTATGAGAAATAACATACTTTCATAAAAAATAAGACATAACTTTTGATTCGTACTTTTTACGGAAATGGGATCTGTACCATTTGGTTCAAAAATTTTAAGGACCATAATATAGGTACTAATTTTAATCAAACCGGCCTTTTTTATAAAATCCATTTTTTTTGTTTTATGGGAAAATAACATAAGTTGCAATAACTTTGGAACCATAATTTTTACAGAAATGGTATTCGTGCCAGTTTGTTTAGAATTTAAAAGACTATAACATACTAAATTTTTATCAAAATCGTTCTGGCCGTTTTTGAGAAAATCTGATTTTTCCGTTATTTTATGGGAAAATCATCATTAACAATAAGTTTAAAAAATATTTTAAAAAACGCGCCTGGAGATTTAATGGATTAGTACCAAATTTCACAAAAATATCTGTTTAGATATTGTGTTCATATAAACTGTTAAGTTTGTTGTAATTAATTTGTTTTTATTGATAACATTAAAACCAATTAAAAAATGTTTACTACTGTATAAGAGAAAATTTCATAGATTTTAGATTTCATACCCCACACCCTGGTTTAAGAAAATTTCTTACAGAGGTGGGAGGAGGGATTTAGGCTTGCATTGTGCAACCTCAGGGAGGGATGGAGGGGTTTAAAAATGGCAAAAACGTGTTACATAATATGTGGACGACCCCTTAGCTGTGATCCTTAACCTCCTATAAAAAAACAACTCCTCTACCGTACTGGTAACTTAATATTATTACTGTAAATAAATTGGCAAATGTCTCACTTAAATTATGCATAGTTTAAAAATAAAATATAAAATATATTAAACCAAACTTTACAGACAAACATATTCAGTACCGTAGTCCATCAAGAGACATGAGCTGGTTGTTAAAAACACATGTTGAAAATATAGCATTGAGAAAACAGGTTATGGACTTGAAATCATGAATTAAAGCATACTGTGATTTACTAAGTACTGATTAAGAAAAACATATTGTTGTTGTAAAAAGTAGCATAAAAAAGTAGTGAATGCTACATTTACTGCTACTACAAATATAGCATGCTACTGCCTTTGCTACAGTTTTACAAAAGTAGCAATGCTACATTTACTGCTACAAAAAATGTAGCAAACTACAGTAGCGTTGCTACTTGTAGTTTGCTACTACCATGGATAAAACATACTTACACTGACTGTTTATGATGATTAGCTTAAGGTATTTGCAGTCCTAAAATGCTATGGGAAGGGAGGGAAAAAGGTCAGCGACGTAGGAAGTGGTGAAGGAAGTAGTCAAGGCGAGCTGTCGGGAGTGTGGGAACTGTTTATGGTGATTAGATTGAGGTATTTGCAATCCTAAAATGCTATGGGAAGGGAGGGAAACAGGTCCGTGACGTAGGAAGTGGTGAAGGTAGAAGTCAAAGCGAGTTGTCCGGAGGACGATTAGATTAAGGTATTTGCAATCCTAAAATGCTATGGGAAAGTAGGAAAACAGGTCCAAGACGTAGGAAATGGTGTAGGACGTAGTAAAGGCGAGCCGTGTGGAGTTTGGGGTTGGATTTATGTATCTGCAATACTAAGACTGCTTTCAGAGTGAACTAATGACATTTCCCGAGCAAAGCTCGGTCCCCAGGAGTAAAATTTTAATTGAGCAATTTCTAGTTTTATTTAATGAACAGCATTATTTTTTCTATTAATAAACTTTTGTTATATTATTTCATTATCAGTAAGTTTGGTTATGATAGTAATTTTATAATTTAAAAAATTATAAAATTGAATTTGAGACATTTATAATTTTATTTTATGAACAGAACTATTTTTGCGATTAGTAAACCTTCATTGCCAAAATGCTCTTGCGCTGTTCTCGGAGGAATTTTGAACTAATGCCTCAATCGTACCTCCCCTAAGTCAGACCCGTGGACGGACGAAGACGAAAGGAAATAGCACTTTTTTTTATTTGAGTTGAGGTTATATGTAAATAAAACTAAAAGGTTAATGAAATAAAATTGTCAATGCTGTAAGCTCGCTGTTAATCCTAGTAGCTTAGCTTAGCTAGCATAGTTTCATTCGAACCTTTCACTATGCATGCATTGCAATTTGCTTTGCTTAGTCATTCATCCGACCTACGTGAAAGGGAAGGTTCCAGAACATAATTACCGAGAATTTAATTTGTTGACTCATTCTAGGGCTATAAAGTACAAAGAGAATTTTATCTCTCGCGAGTCGTCGTCTGTGCGTTGTGGCTGTCGTTTCATTAGGCTCTAAATATTGGTGTTAAGGTTAAGTTGGGTTGGCTTGCTATTGAAGGAGGAAGTTAGAACTGGAAGTTTTCCGTCTTCCAGCCTTCAATTTTGTTGTTTGAGCCTACCCCTCAGAGTCGGTGATGGAGTTCCCACATTTAGGAAAACAATGTTCTGAGCCATCCTGTAAGAAATTAGGTATGTACGAATAGCATTTAAAGGCAATACTGGGGTACAGTTTCTTAACTGGGCTAGGCCTATGCTAATATTGATTGAAACTATCGAATTGAAAATTTTGAATAATAATCGATATTTTTAAATATAGGCTATCTATTATGAAATAAAACTATCATAACGTAACCAAACCAACCAAACTTGCTGATGGTGAAAAACTCGCATGAAGGTTTACTAATCGAATCGATAAGTTTCAATCGATATTAGCATAGGCCTAGCCCATTCAAGAAACTGTACCCCGATACTGAACTTGAACTTAACTTATACTAACTTTATGTTATAACTTACCCATTGCATTGGGTACACTTCCATATCCGTTGGCACAAACAACCGAATAAGTAATATTGACTGGGAGCATTTGTTGAGAAACGTTCAGCTTTTATAAAATGACGAAGGTCTGGTAGTCTGGATATCGAATAATCGATATATTGATCGATATTACTCGCTCGGCTCTTTGTGCCAACAGATATGGAAGTGTAGCCTTTAATTTTGTAATAGGCCTAGATAACTTAACTTATATTTGAAAATACATTATGGATTATTAACCGATATTTTCAATTCGATAGTTTCAATCAATATTAGCGTAGCCCAGTAGCAGACTTGCAGAGCAGCACAGTATTGGTTTGTATCTAACATTAGGTACTTGGGAATCACTTTTATTCCTAGATTGTATTTGGGTACAGTTTCTTAACTGGGCTACCTATGCTAGTATCGATTGAAACTATAGAATTGAAAACATTGATTAATAGGCCTAATCGATATTATATTTTTAAATATATCTATTATATAAAATTAAACTAACTTATCATAACCTAAACCTAGGCTAACTTACTAAACTTGCTGATGGTGAAAAAATGGCATGAAGGTTTACTAATCGAATCGATAGTTTCAATCAATATTAGCATAGCCCAAAGCCCAGTTAAGAAACTGTACCCGTCCTATCTAACTTAGAGAAACTTTACCGTAGCACCTAACATAGAGATGATGATAAGATGTAAAGTTCATTATAGGCCTAGGCTAGAATAACTTAGAATGAAATTTTGGAGTGTCTTATTTTTCAGTTGGCGTACAAACTATTTCATTTTAGATTACCTTATTACCTTATTACCTTATTACCTCCTCCTTGGCTTGATACCAGCATAAGCTGGTTAGGCTGCGTCAACTATTTACAATTTTAAAAATGAAAACTAATATTTACAATATTTACAAACTTCCATTAAGTCGGATTAATAAACTTAATGGCGGTGGATTTAAAGTCCCGTGAGGTCGTCCTCAAAGAACTCCTTAAGCGAGTAATATGGCCTAGCTTTTAGCCAACACTTTAACCTGGCTTGAAACTGGTTTTTGTTTAAGTCCCTAACTGCAACCGGCAACTTATTGGTCAGTCTGAGGGCCATGACCGGGAAAGCATCCTTTGTCCTACTGAGCCTGCAATAGGGCACATCAATGTGGTCTTTGCGCCTGGTGTTGTGCGCATGCACCTGCTGCCTGGTGGTGAAGGTATGCACATTGGAGTGTACGTAGCTGACACATTGAAGGATGTAGTTGCTGTGTATGGTAAGTATGCCCAAGTCAACAAAAATAGGCTTGCAATGCTCCTGTCGCCCACTGCCAGTCATGATTCTCAGAGCTTTCTTCTGCAGTTTAAGGATTCTGGAGACATTGGATGCATGACCCCATAGCTGAAGACCGTAAGTGACGTGACTATGAAATAATGCGTGGTAAACCACAACTAGATAAGCCCTATCAACTAGTCTTGTTAGTTTCCTGAGAAGATGTGTAACCCTTGATAATTTCTTTGCCACGTTATCCACATGATCTTTCCAACTCAGCTTTGGGTCGATCGTAAAGCCCAGTAGATTTACCGTATCAACGTCCTGAGCCAAGTTTGACTGAAGTGAACACAAAATTTTTTGTGTCTTGTCTTGGTTGAGTTTTAGTTTGTTTGTCTCAAACCAATCTTTTGCTGCCCTAAACATCACTTCAGCTCTTTCTGAAGCCGTTCCTGGATTGTCACCAACAGAAATTAGGGTAGTGTCATCAGCAAACCTGAGTGCATTGCCACCTAGTTCAAGGTCATTTATGGCTATCAGAAAGAGGACAGGTCCCACAACTGACCCCTGAGGCACCCCGTGAGGAACATTGAGAGCTCGGGACTTAGCTCCGGCTATTGAGACGATCTGCTGTCGGTTCCCCAAATATGTGACAAAGGTGTCGTAAACTGCACCGCACAGCCCATATTTATTTAATTTAGCTAGGAGAATGTCATGTGAGACGCAATCGAATGCCTTGCTCAAGTCACATAATGTCAAGGCAACAGTGTTGGTATCCTCAAAGGCTTGTTGAACGCGATGTATGAGCTCAGAGACGGCAGTGACAGTTGATCTGTCTTTACGGAAGCCGTGTTGCAGATTAGACAGCAGGTTATTGCGTTCAAGATAGGAGACTAGCTGGAATTTAATGGCGGTTTCAAAGACCTTAGCGAAAGTTGGTATAATAGATATAGGTCTATAGCTCTGTACACTTGCTGGATCACCTTTTTTGAAAATGGGGACAGTTCTAGACACCCTTAGGATTCTAGGAAATATTCCGGCACTTAGGCAGGAGTTCAGGACCTGGCAAAGAGGTATGGCAACAATGTTTATAGTGTGCTTTAGGATGACAGTAGTCATTCCATATATGTCGGGGCTGTGAGAGGTCTTAAAATGGCCTACCATGGTGACAAGGCTCTCTGGTGTAAGAGGTTGCCAGGTTGAAAGGTTGATATCGGGAGACTGTATGTCTTTGACTATTTCGTTGCTATCAACAGGAGCGAGGCCTACTATGCCCGCTACAGTACCGATGAGATGGGTGTTGAAGTCATCGGGACTAGCAGTACATTTAGAGGCAGGTGACAGCACTTGACCAGTATCACGGTTGTTGTTGACCAAATTCCATACCGCCTTGCAAGGATTAAGCGAGCTTTCAATTAGCCTCACATTTGAAGCTTTCTTTGCCTGATCTATTTTAATCCTATACAACCTTTTAGCTCTGGTGTAAAGAGTATAGAAATGGTCCCTATTGGCGAGAGTCTCCGCCGCCATGTATCTATCCCTGAATGCTAGCACAAACATTTGAATCTGCTTCAACTCGGCAGTAAACCAAGTTTTGTCCTTAGGCCTGAGCGGTTTTTTTTTGGTTTGAGGGTTCACCTTTTTGCTGACTTTTACGGGGAAAAAAGTATTAAAAACTGAAATGTATGCCTCAAAAAATGCCTCAAAAGCCGATTCGGCTTGCTTATGGTATAGCACATCATCCCAGGGAACCTGTGAAAGAGCATGTTTAAAGCTAGGAATAAGATCGTCATCTAATAGCCTATAATATCTAGTATAAAGATTTAACCATGCAGGAACTGTTAAAGAAGGACTCACCATACTGGAGTTGGCTTTCATGAGAACCGCTTGATGGTCCGCCACATATGGTTCAGTTGTCCAAACCTGGTAATCCCATGTGTTAAGATCTGTGGCCACTGTATCAAGGCAGCGAGGTCCACGCGTAGGCAGAAGACTCGTGATGAACAGTCCATGAGAGCGTAGTAGATCTGCGAAGTCACTGGCCACTACATCATTGGCGTTGAGGGTTATGTTAAAGTCTCCGCCCAAGATAATGTTTTTCTTGAAACCAGCAAGGTAGTCTAGACACTGGTCGAGCAGATCGAAGAACTGTTGAACCTGTCCATCGGGCGAGCGATATATGCTGAGGACGATGAGGGAGAAGTCGATCAGCTCAATACCAACTATCTCAATATCGAGCTCACTGCAGTACTGCACAAGATTAATAGGCCTAGACCTAGTGCTTAAGTCCTGTTTCACATATATAGAGACACCGCCATTTTTGTGCAGGTCACGACAATAACTTGCTACAAGTTGCAATGAGTTCAGTTTGCTGAAAGCTCCTATCTCACTGTTTCCTAGCCAATGTTCACAGCCACAGAATACGTCTAATTGATTTTCTTCACAAAAAAGTGAGGTGACATTAAATTTAGTACGTAAGCACTGAATGTTAAGATAGCCAAATACCAGATGATCACTAGGTTTTGCTACAGGAGCCCTATCCCTGACCAGATCGTACTTCCTAGGCCTAGGCACATTTGAGGTTAGAGGATTTTGTATATTGTCTGTAAAAGCTATATAGTCCGAGATGAGCACTGGGATAGAGACAGGTCCTACGTCACAGCACTTTTCCTTGGTTCCCGGAATAAAAAACGTTTTAAAGTGATGTTCTTGGGCCACAATTTACCATCCAAGACTTTGTCCTTATGGATAAAATCACACCCTATCTTGAAACTATCGTTCGAACCTTTTGTTTCTAGCTTCTCAATCTGGAACTCCACTCCCGGGAAGACTTTAGCCACGTAGCCTTGAACATCGGCCACCTCGGTACCTTTTCTGACTTTCCCCAGGTGTAACCAGGCTTTCTTAGCCCCTTTTAGGGTTTCATCTTCAGAAGTCCCTACAAGTACTTGTTTTGCGGTTGTAGATCTAGGCCTAGTCGCGATTCTTCTCGTCACCGACCTTGTCTGCTGTCTGTCTTGATTCGCAGCAATAGCCTTGTCACCAATGTTTGAGTTAGCTACTGTCGCATAACTCAGCTTGTGGTCCACATGAGATGCGTTAACACTGTTGTTAGTTATTGTATCATCACTCGTTAAGTTGGTCTTGTTCTTCTTATGTTTGTTAGCAACAACAGTAGTCCAAACATCATCAGATCCACCGCCATCTTGATTTACCGTCCGTTGTTGTTTCGACAACTTTCCACTCCTTTTGGTTACCAGCGTAGGCAGGCTATCGAGACTTTTAACATGAGTTTTGGTTGGGTGAGCTAAAACAGACTCTGTACTCGGTCTTTTTTCTGAGTTTCCTTCTTCTTCCTCATTTACTACTGAAGTCAAAAGCCCAGCTTCAGGAGATTTGTGACATACGTCA